TTCCTGCTCCTCTGATGCTGCTTGGCCTGCTGTGTTCATCCAGCTCTACACCTTGTTAACTCAATAAATCAATCAAATTCACAGTACTCCAGCTGAGGTAGAACAAATGTTTCGTATCAAAGTAATGTAATTTCCTGTCTTCCGTAATCAATTCTATTTGTAAAGCCCAAGGACTGGTACAGTTTATTACTTTTATTTCACCTTAAAAGATTTGCATATGAACACAAGTGAGTTGCATCACGAAAGCATTGAAAATTTAAAAGGGGACTGTTAGGCCCCTCACGCATATGCTAGCCCAAGAATGAGCTATCCAACCCCATTTTCCCAGCCATGGCCCATAGTCCAATGGGTGGTGGAACCCCAAGTGCAAAGGGGGTTCTGCCTCAACCTCCCTTTCTGGTAATGATCTGCAGAATCCAGGCATCCCTTTGAGCAAACTTCTCAAGGACTTAGGGTGGCACGGTGGCTTAGTGGTTAGTACTGCTGCCTCACAGCACCAGGGACCTGGGTTCAGTTCTGCCCTTGGGCAACCTTCTGTGAGAAGTTTGCACATTCTCCCTGTGTCTGTGTGGGTTTGCTCCTGTTTCGTCTTCCAGTCCAAAGATTTGCAGGTTAGGTAGATTGCCCATAGTGTTCAAGGATGTGTAGATTAGGTGAGTTATATGGGATGGGTCTGGGTGGGATGCTCTGACCATCAGTGTGGACTTGTTGAGCCTGTTCCCACACTGTAGGGATTCTATGATCTATGACTCCTCTCTAATTGTTCTCTGTCCTATCAACCAGAGGCTGCTCAACATGGGAATGCACCATGCCAGGCAGGAGGAGATCTCCCCACATCACTGGGCATGCTCTCTGATTAGAAATGCCATAGTATGAAGTAAAAATAATGTCACCTCTCTCTGGGGTGGCACTGTGGGAGTCAAGCCAAAAGTTTAATATTTTATCAAAGTATCTAAAATTTTCCCAATTTGCCTATGTTATAAGCCCAGAAAGCATGGACCAGGTTTCTGTATTTAACAATAATTGTTGCTCTTGTTAAAGGAGGCAATGACCTAATGGTATTGTTACTGGACTGTTACTCTAGAGACCCCAGTAATGTTCTGGGGGACTGAGTTCAAATCCTGTCATGGTGGACAGTAGAAGTTGGATTCAGGTTTTTAAAAATCTGACATTAAGTGTCTAATGATGATCATGAAATTGGTGTCAGTTGTTGGGAAAGATTGAGGGAAGAAAACTGCCATCATCACCTGGTCTGGCCTACATGTGACTCCAGACCCACAGCAGTACTGTTCTCTCTTAACTAACCTCTGGGGCAATGAGTGATGGGAATTAAAAGCTGGTCTAGCCAGAGATGCCCTCATCCTGTAAATGAATTTTTAATAAAAGCCCCAGCAAGCACCAGAACTCCTTGATGAGAGTCAAGGCTGATTCCTCTCCCATCCCCGTTGGTGATTGGCCCATCCTGCTCTGCGATTCGAGCCGATGGTATTATTTGGTCAGATGCGATCTATTCCCTGACCCATTTGGAATAACAGAGTGCTGCTCTACCATAATTTTCAATCACACCCCTGAACTGGAAACTCCTGAACCCACTGGAGTTCTTTGAGACAAAGATATCTGGTATGCGATGCAGAGTGACACCTTAGTGTGGGTTCAATTCCCTCAATGGCTGAGGTTACCACAAAGGCCCCTCCTTCTTAACCTCTCCCCTCACCTGAGGAATAGTGACCCTCAGGTTAAACCACCACCTGTCTCTAATGAAAGAGCAGCCCTATCGCCCAGTAGGCCCATGTCGATTTTCTTTTATATCGGTGAGTGCGCAGGATTGTAATAAAAATCCTTTCTATCACAGAACGGAGAGAAGGTGTTACCTAAGGATGACATTGAGTGCCCCAGTGGCTGGAAATGGGAAGATGTGGAATGGTCCACTGACCTTAACCGAGCTGTGGATGAACAAGGTAGGTGGCAGATACTTGGACAAAGCAAAGTCATCTGGAGTGTCTCCATATCCCGTCAGCCTCCTTCCTCTATTCCTCAACCACAAAGTCTTGAACCTTCGTGGTGTTGAAATCGAGGCTCAATCAGACCATCTTCAACTCCAAATCGTTCCTTTGCACAACCTCAAAGTCTTTCCCCTCTTCTCCCTGCCATCTGTAAACCAGGCCATTCCTGGTGCCAATGGGACAGACAATACAGGAAGGCCAGGGAGCGACAGTTAGTCCAGCGGTGGCAATATTGCCCTTAACATCTTGGGATCTTTTATCAAGGTTGCAGCGGAGTTGACTCCAAATCTGGAGCTCGTGCACTCCATCCATTTCTTTTCTTCTTTCTACTTAATTCCATTCCTCAGATGGTTTTGGTGGTGGAGAGTTAAGACAGCATGGACTTGAGGAACTCCTGGCCTCGAGGAGAAGCCCAGAACAGACTCCCTGCTTTGGAAGGACTGTAATGCTGAACTTTTACCTTTATTCCTTTATTTTTCTAGTTTATACCTAGGATTTTGTACCTAGGTATCTTTGTACCTAAGATAGCGCTGGGAATAGTGACTTTTCACTGTACTCCTGTACTTGAGTACGTGTGACAATATATCCTAATTCTAGTTCTAATAATAACAACTGCTTGTATCTAAAAAGCACCTTTAGTGTAAAAATACCAATGTCATGGGAAACAATATTGTATGAGAAGAGAATGTTGGCAAGTTGTCTCCAACTGTTATACATATTGCTGTAGAGAATGCACCAGTTAGCTGTTGACTGACAAATTAACTGCCATGACGTTGGTATTTTGATGGATTATTCTGATGAATGCACGGTGAAAAGTTTCAACAAAAATGCTTTATTTTTCAGCAACACTAAAAAAGAATTTGCTGTGTTGTTTAAATTTTAAACTGTACAGGTGGGTACTAATTGGTCAGGACCTTGTCCTATTAAGTGAAACCAGAGAATTGCTGTTGCTGGTTTGTTGAGTTAGTGTATGAACATGTTTTTACAAACCTCTATGTATTAATGCATTGTAGCTTCTAGTTCACACTACAAGCCTGACTGACAATCCTAAATTGGTTGACAAATAATTCTTTACAGGGGAGGTCATCACCTAGGTCATCACCTAGTGGTATTGTTGCTGGCCTGTTAATCTGGAGACCCAGATAACAATCTGTAGACTGAGGTTCAAATCCCACCACAACAGATGGTGGAATTTGAATTTAATAAATATCTGGAATTAAGAATCTAATGATGATCAATTGTCAAATTATAATGTTTAAAAAACATTTGGGTAAGTACACAAATAGGAAAGGTTTGGAGGGATATGGGCCAGGGGTAGGCAGGTGGGGCTAGTTTAGTTTGGGATTATGTTTGACTCGGACTGAAGGGTCTGTTTTTGTGCTGTATGACTCTATGATCCACCAGATTTTGGGATATACACCCTATATACCTGGCATCACAGCATCACTGAAACTCATACACCACATTACTCAGCTGTGTGGTAGGAGGTTGCATCTTGTTAGTGGTGAACACCACTCGTGTTGCTATAGCAAGGCAGCACCATGAAACTATTCCCCGACAGTTTAAATGTTGCCTCCCCTTTGCTTTGGCATTTCCTGCCAATTGTCCTGATGAGTGCAAGAGGAAAGTTTCAACTAAATGTGTCTTTATTCAGAAATACCCAAGCTTCATACTGTCAAATGACAACCATTTTTTAATTCATTCATAAGAACAAGGATATGGGCAATAGTCTCTGAGGAAGTATATTTCCCCCATCTCTGTTCACCCTGGAGAAGGCAGTGGTGAGCTGCCTTCTTAAGCAATTGCCATCCATTTAGTGGAGGTTAGGAAATATTGGGAAAGGATTGGTGGTGAAGGAACGGCGATATATTTCCAAATCAGAATTCTGTGACACTTAGAGAGATGGTGGTGTATCTGCTGCCTTTGTCCTTTGAGATGGAAGTGATGTGAGTTTGGAAGGTGCTGCCAAAGGACACTTGGTGAATTTCTGCAGCGCACCTACAAAGAACAAAGAACAAAGAAAATTACAGCACAGGAACAGGCCCTTCGGCCCTCCAACCCTGCGCCGATCCAGATCCTATATCTAAACCTGTCGCCTATTTTCCAAGGATCTGTATCCCTCTGCTCCCTGCCCATTCATGTATCTGTCTAGATACATCTTAAATGACGCTATCGTGCCCGCCTCTACCACCTCCGCTGGCAATGCGTTCCAGGCACCCACCACCCTCTGCGTAAAGAACTTTCCATGCATATCTCCCTTAAACTTTTCCCCTCTCACCTTGAAATCGTGACCCCTAGTAATTGAGTCCCCCACTCTGGGAAAAAGCTTCTTGCTATCCACCCTATCTATACATCTCATGATTTTGTAGACCTCAATCAGGTCCCCCCTCAACCTCCGTTTTTCTAACGTAAATAATCCTAATCTACTCAACCTCTCTTCATAGCTAGCGCCCTCCATACCGGGCAACATCCTGGTGAACCTCCTCTGCACCTTCTCCAAAGCATCCACATCCTTTTGGTAATGTGGCGACCAGAACTGTACACAGTATTCCAAATGTGGTCGAACCAAAGTCCTATACAACTGTAACATGACCTGCCAACTCTTGTACTCAATACCCCGTCCGATGAATGAAAGCATGCCGTATGCCTTCTTGACCACTCTATCCACCTGTGTTGCCACCTTCAGGGTACAATGGACCTGAACACCCAGATCTCTCTGTGGATCAATTTTCCCCAGGGCTTTTCCATTTACCATATAGTTCGCTCTTGAATTGGATCTTCCAAAATGCATCATCTTCTGGAATCATAAGAAACCCTGCGGTATGAAAGCAGGCCTTTTGGCCCATCAAGTCACACCGACTCTCTGAAGAGCATTCCCACACAAACACACCCCTCTACACTATCCCTGTAACCCTGCATTTCCCATGGCTAATCCACCAAGCCTACACATCCCTGAACACTATGGGCAATTTCCCACGGCCAGTCCACCTAAATTACACATCTTTGGACTGTGGGAGGAAACCGGAGCATCCAGAGGAAACCCACTCAGACACGGGGAGAATGTGCAAACTCCACACAGACAGTCACCCGAGGGTGGAGTCGAAACCAGGTCCCTGGCGCTGTGAGGCAGCAATGCCAGTCCTGCATGGCATGCTGTTAGACGAGGCGAATCAGCTTTAATGGCATCTTCCTCTTTCTGCGTTTCAGCTCATGGGACTGATTGGTTTCTATTGTGTGACAGGCCTGAGGGCTGAATGGCTTCATCCCTTTCCTGTGTAAAAGGCATGAGGCGCTAAATGGCCTCATTCTGTTCCTACATTGCAATTGTTGGGTGATTTCCTCCAGGCATCTCGAGTCAGAGGTAGGTCAGGATGGTTCTGGGTTGTCAGTTTTCTCTTCCCTGGAGCAGTGTAATGGAGCCATTGTGATATTACCACACCCTTTACCTTTCAGAACGGAAGGACTAGGAGCAGGAGTGGGGAATTCAGCCCCTCAAGCCTGCTGCATGCCCAAGTTGTTCAGTTCATAAATCAACAGTTTCGGCAAGTCCGTTATCCTGACTCAGAGGGAACTGAACTCTGCCAAGATCTGAATAAAAACTGAAAGAACTGTGGATGCTGTACATCAGGAACAAAAACAGAAGTTGCTGGAAAAGCTCAGCAGGTCTGGCAGCACCTTTTCCAGCAACTTCTGTTTTTGTTTCTGTCAAGATCTGGCTTGTTCCTGGCATTTGTCAGACAGTACAAAAGAGGCCTTCAGCCCATTGAGTGTGTATCGTAAAAAACATACTACAACCTACACTGGTCCCACTTTCCTGCACTAGGCCCATAGCCTTGAATGTTAGTGTGAGAGTATTGAAATGATTGGGGTGTACAGGTGGCAGGGGTCGGAGGTGGAATTGTGGGTGAGGGGCTATTTGCCTTGTTCCAGCTCTGATTTACCCCTGTTATCCAACCCCCCCTCGCCAGGCTGGGAGTATGGATTCACCATCCCACCGGATCGGAAGCCCAAATCCTGGGCCCCGGCAGAGAAGATGTACCACACAAACAGGAGGCGTCGTTGGGTCCGAATGCGCAGGAGGGACCTTCAACAGTTGGAAGCACTCCGCAAGGTGAGGCCATGGGAATTCCTATAGACCAGGATGCATTAACAGTGGAGAGCGGTGGGGGGGAGGGGAAAGACAGAGTCCCCTTTTTGGGAATTCCTGGTGCCCCCCTCCCTCCTCATTCCAAGGATGCCTGTTTCCCAATCATTGGAACAACAATGGCAGGGTATTCTGGGGGTAGTTTGAGAGGCACAGCAGAAATCCATCCCAAATAAGGAGAAACGTACCAAAGGGGGAGGACGAGCCAAACATCGCTGACAAGGGAAGTCAGGGACAGCATAAATACAAAAGGAAAAAGCATACAATGTGGTGAAGCCAGAGGTTTGGGAAGCCTTTAAAAATCTTTAGAGGATAATTAAAAAAGCAATAAAGGGGGAAGAAGTATGAGAGTAAGCTAGCTAGTAATATAAAAGAAGACTGCAAGAGATTTTTTTAGATATCTAAGAGGTAAGAGAGAGGCAATGGTTGGGCATTGAACTGCTGGAGAAATAGTAATGGGGAACGAAGAAATAGGGGAACTGAACAGGTATTTTGCATCAATTTTCACGATGAAAGACACCAATAGGATTCAACTGAGTCGGGGACAGAAGTGAGCAGCCTTCACTAAGGAGCAAGTGTTGGGGAAGCTGAAAGGTCTGTTTTTAAGGATGAGATTGTGGAGCGCTTGGAAGTGCATGGTAAAACAGGGCTGAGCCAGTATGGTTTTGTTAAGGGGAGGTCATGCCTGACAAATCTGTTAGAATTCTCCGAGGAAGTAATGAGCAAATTAGACAAAAGAGAGCCAGTGGACGTGATGTATTTGGATTTCCAGAAGGCCTTTGAAATTTACAGAATGTTGAGAGGCCTGGATGGAATGGACGTGGAGAAGATGTTTCCACTACTAGGAGGGACTAGGACCTGAGAGCACAGCCTCAGAGTGAAGGGACAGCCCTTTAGAACTGAGATGAGGAGGAATTTCTTCAGCCAGAGGGTGGTCAGCTTGTTGCAGAGGGCTGTGAAGGTCAAGACATTGAATGTAATTAAGACAGAGACAGTTAGGTTCTTCATTAGAGAGGGATCCAAGGGTTATGGGGAGAAGACAGAAGAATAGGGTTGAGAAACATATCGGCCATGATCGAATAGTGGTGCAGACTCAATGGGCCGAATGGTCTAATTCTGCTCCCATATCTTACAGTCTTATGATCATCGTCATTCGCAGAATGGGGCATATTTCTTTCAACCACAGAATCATTCAGACCAAAATTCCCAGTGCAGTACTGAGGCAGAACTGTACAGTCAGAGGGAACTGTCTTTCATTAAACCATCTGCCCCAATGAATGAATTAGAGACATAGAATTCAAAATAGGCCGTTCAGCCCATCGAGTCTGCTCCACCATTCATAGAATCATAGAATCCCTACAGTGTGGAAACAGGCCCTTCGGCCCAACAAGTCCACACCGACCCTTGGAGCATCCCACCCAGACCCATCCCCCAATAACCCACACACCCCTGAACACTATGGGCAATTTAGCATGGCCAATCCACCTAGCCTGCACATCTTTGGACTGATCTGCCTGATCTGATAATCCACAACTCCGCTTTCATGCCATAAGCCTGGATTCCCTTCCAGATTAAAAATGTGTCTATCCCAGCCTTGAAAATTGAATACTGAAGGACCCAGCCTCAACAGCCCTCTGTGGTAAAGGATTCTGCAGATTCACAGCCCTCGGAGAGAAGAAATTCTTCCATGTCTCTGTCTTAAATGTGCAACTCTTTACTCTGAGATGAAACCCTCTGGTCTAACTGTCCCACAAGGGGAAACAACCTTTCCTCATCTACCTTGTCAAGTCCCCAAACAATCTTGTATGTTTCAATCAGGTCGCCTTTCGTTCTTCTCAATTCCAGCGAGTACAGGCCCAACCTACTCAACCTCTCTTCATAAGACAGTCCCTTCAGACCTGGGATCAGCTTCCAAGCTGGTGCATCTTTTCTGGGATAAGTGACCCAAATCTGCTCAGAAAGACCCCAGGAACACTGTTTTAAAGAAGATTGAAGAAAGTGGGTTTCTTCCCAGAGTGGTCTACAATAATTGTGCCCCAAACAACATCACAAGTGCAAACTACATTCCTTGTTTTTGGATCTTGCTGTGCACAAATTAGTTGCTGATTTGATTTGATTTATTATTGTCCCATGTACCCAGGTAGAGTGAAAAGTTTTGTTTTGTGTGCAGTACAGGCAGATCATACCATACAAAGATCACAGGGTGACAGAATAGTGCAAGGAATGCAATGTTATGGCTGCAGAGAAGGTGCGCAAAGAGCAACATCAGTATTGGATTTGAAATTTGAGAGGGCCATTCAGAAGTCTAATAGCAGTGAGGAAAACATACATTGAAGATAGGAGCAGGAGGAGGCCATTCAGCCCTTTGAGCCTGCTCCACAATTCAACACGATCATGGCTGATTGTCCAACTCAACAGCCTAATCCTGCTTTCTCCCCATAACCTTTGATCCCATTTGCCCCAAGTGCTATATCTAGTCACTTCTTGAATACATTCAATGTTTTGGCATCAACTACTTCCTGTGGTAATGAGTTCCACAGGCTCACCTCTCTTTGGTGAAGAAATGTCTCCTCATCTCCATCCTAAATGGTTTACCCTAAATCCTCAGACTGTGAGCGCTGGTCCTGGACACACCCACCATCGGGAACATCCTCCCTGCATCTACCCTGTCCAGTCCTGTTAGAATTTTATAAGTCTCTATGAGATCCCCCCTCATTTGTCTGAACTCCAGTGAAAGCAATCCCAACCTCGTCAATCTCTCCTCATCTGTCAGTCCCACTATCCCCGGAATCAGCCTGGTAAACCTTCACTGCACTCCCTCGAGAGCAACAGCATCTGTCCTCAGAAAAGGAGACCAAAACTGCTCACAATATTCCAGGTGTGGCCTCACCAAAGCCCTGTATATCTGCAACAACACATCCCTGCTCCTGTACTTGAAACCTCTCGCAATGAAGGCCAACATACCATTTACCTTCTTTACCACCTGCTGCACCTACACGCTTACCTTCAGTGACTGGTGCGCAAGGACCAACCCTCAGCCCACTTCCCCATATGACCAAGACCCCTCTGTGATGTTTGATACCCTTCCTTGCTATCAACAATACCTCCTAATTTTGTATCATCCACAAACTTACTAATCATGCGTTGTGCATTCACATCCAGATTATTTACATAAATAACAAATAACAAAGGTCTGAGCACAGAGCCTTGTGACACACCACTAGTCACAGGCCTCCAGTCTGAGAAACAACCTTCAACCATCACCCTCTGCTTCCTACCATCGAGCCAGTATTGATTCCAATTAGCTAGCTGTCCCTGGATTCCATGCGACCGAACCTTCATGATTAGCCTGCCATATGGGACCTTGTCAAAGGGAGAAGAAGGAAGATTTTGAGTTGTTTGGTCAGGATGTCTCAAAATGCTTCACAACCAATGGTGTACTTTTTCAATGTGACTACACACATTCTCCTCTCCCAATTTACAGCCTTTCAGGTAGTAACCTGCCTTCTTGTTTCTGCTTCCAAAGTGAATAATCTCAAATTTATCCAGATTATACTGCATCTGCCATTGATATGCCCACTCACCCAACCTGTCGAGATCATGCTGAAGGATCTCTGCATCCTCGTCACAATTCACCCTCCCACCCAACTTGACATCATCTGCAAACTTGGAGATGTTACATTTTGTTCCCTCATCCAAGATGCTGTTCTTTAATTTGTTGGTTTGTTGGTTTGGATTACAACCTCGATCACATTGAAAAAGTACTCCATTGGTCCTTGAGGAGTCGCGAGTGGTGCTGAACATTGTGCAATCATCGGCGAACATTCACACGTCTGTCCCTATGTTAGAGGGAAGGTCATTAATGAGGCAGCTGAAGATGGGCCTAGGATACTACCCTCAGGTTGGGGATCCAGGGAGAGCTACATAATTGGATTCAGAATTAGCTCGATGGTAGGAAGCAGAGGGTGATGGTTGAAGGTTGTTTCTCGGACTGGAGGCCTGTGACTAGTGGTGTGTCACAAGGGTCTGTGCTCAGACCTTTGTTATTTACATAAACTATCCGGATGTGAATGTACAAGGCATGATTAGTAAGTTTGTGGATGATATAAAGTTAGGAAGTATTGTTGATAGCGAAAACGTTTATCAAAAATTACAGAGGGATCTTGATCAGATGGGGAAGTGGGCTGAGGATTGGCAAATGTAATTCAATATAGATAAGTGTGAGGTGTTGCACTTTGGAAAGTCAAACCAAGGTTGAACTTATACAGTAAATGGTAAGGTCCTGAGGAGTGTTGTGGAACAGGGGTACCTAGGAGTACAAGTAAATAGTTCGTTGAAAGCGGCATCACAGGTACAGGGTGGTGAAGAAGGCATTTAGCATGTTGGCCTTCATTGGTCAAGGCATTGAGTATAGGAGTTGGGACGTTATGTTACAGTTGTGAGGCCGCATTTGGAGTATTGTGTACAGTTTTTGTCACCCTGTTATAGGAAAGACATAGTTAAACTGGAAAGTGTGCAAAGAAGATTTATGAGGATGTTGCCAGGGCTAGTAGTCATAGGGAGAGGTTGGCCAGGATAGGACTTTATCCCTTGGAACATAGGAGAGTGAGGGGCGACCTTATTGAGGTGTGTAAAATCATGAGGGGCATAGATAGGATGAATGCATATAGTCTTTTGCTCAGGGATGGGGAATTGAAAACCAGAGGGCATAGGTTTAAGGTGAGAGGGCAAAGATTTAAGAAGGACCTGAGGGGCAACTTCTTCACACAGAGAGTGGTGTGTATATGGAATGGGCTGCCGGAGAAAGTGGTTGAGGCAGGTACTTTAGTAACATTTAAAAAACATTTGGACAGGTACATGGATGAGGAAGATTGAGAGGGAAATGGACCAAATGTGGGCAGTTGGAACATGCTGCCGTGGTCAGCATGGACCAGTTTGGGCCGAAGGGCCTGTTTCCATGTTGTATT